GAAGCAAGAACTGGGAGGGAGAGAGGACAGTATGGACAAGCCTGCCAGTCCCCTAACCTCCCCCAAGCTCACAGGAATAAAAATAAAATTAATCCCCTTCTCTCATCCAAGCATTTTCTCTCTGGCCTCCAGCTGATGGGTCTCTAATCCCTACACAATCCCTATCACTCTCATGTCTGCTCCTGTCCACTGGCAGCAAAACAGCTCTCCCTGGAAATGAATCCTCACTTGTACAGGGAGGAGATGAGGGAATTTAGACTGGTGAGGAATCCCATTACTAAAGAAAGACAGGATCTCAACGAAGGACAAGTTGGTCCGGTAAGATTTATTATGATCCAAGGCACATGGACAGCCCCTTACTTCTGACAGGATTACAGCACATTACCCTAAGGACCTCTGCTCACACAGAGAGCTGGAACTTCTGGTGGAGACAGACATGGCAGGCCTCTAGATAGCAGCCAGACCAGGACAGGCAGATGAAAGGTTAAGTCTAGGCTGCAGAGCGGCTGATTCATTACTGTTCCCTAATGGTCCTGGTCTTAGAAGGTTCAATACATCCAAATCATCTTAGTTTTGTTTGTAGGTGTCTAGGAGGGGCCCAAATCTTGAGCTTGATTGTATATATCATTGGCTACTCAGTTTTCTTTATGAGGTTTTACTTTGTTTCTCTCTCCATGAAATACATTTGTTTTCCCTACTTGATCAATTACCCTTTAAGGTAAAGACTTTGTACAATAATTCTGCCAAACCTCTTATGCAGCAGGATACAAGCTAAATACAGTGCTAAAAGTTCTGCTTATGCTGGACAGGATGAACTGTAAAAACACACACAAACCATACACACCACACCCCTCTTTTGATGTAAGCATGCATGTTTTTATTCTTGGTGTGTTATATATGAAGCACTCACCAAAGGGAGAGAAAATCTAGGACCCACATTTTCTTCCAAATAAATTCTATTTGCATCTGAAGAGACTATATTAGATTTGAAGAGGGACCTCCATTGAAAAACTACTGCTGGCAATAGGAGACTCACCTATCTCCCAGAGGCCAGCCAACAGGGTCTTCCTGTAGCTAGCCCTCTGTCCTTTCTACCCAACTGTGAACTTCCTAAGTGCCTGAAACAAACATTGCTGGATACTACACCCCAGCATCTACTGTGGGGCCTGGCACACAATAGGCACTTAGTAAATGTTTACTGAATATAAACAGGAGCACACAAAAGGTTTCTGGGCCAGGAATTGTCCAGCAGATTCAAAGTTCAGCCAGTAGAAAATGGGTGAGAAAAAGCAGAAGGGATGGGTGTAGTCACTGCACATTCTCAGCAAACTTCTAGATCAACATGAAAACGCTGATGGGAGCCCCTGAGGATCAGCAGCTAGGCGATAAGGTAAGCCTGGTCCTGTGACTACAGCCTTAGACCCTGTGGTTTAGGGAGGACATTGCTCCCAGGGAGCTAAGAATGGACAGCTCACATGTACTGTAGTAGATAACCATCACAGATTGTCACAGATTATCTCTTTTTACCTGCACAGTGACCCTGGGGGAAAGACTGAGATCACCTCGGCAGGTGTGACTCTAGTACCTTGTGGACTCCAGAGCAGTTAAGACAATAAAAAGCATCTCACAGAACCATACACTCCCAAGGTTCATGGAAATCTTCAATCTCACCCTTCTTCCCTCCTTCAAGAAATGTTCAAATTCCTATAGCACTCAACACCTCAACCATCTTCCTTCTTGCCTCTCACACTGGAGGATTCCATACCTGTTCAATTGCCCTGCCCAATCCTTGAACTAATTACATTTTTTTCACCTGAGTCACGACTTCTCTGTGTAACAGGCCTGGCTGTCCTGGCACAGGATTTGTAGATCAGGCTGGCATTGAACTCACAGAGGTCCTCCTGCCTCTGCCTCCCTAATGTTGGAATTAAAAAACGTGCACCACACCTGGATGCTAACTGCTTTCTTAAAGCTTTCTGATTTCTAACCATCAACCCCACATCTTCCCCTCCTATTTACTCAGAGCTAAACGAGTCTCAAGCACATGGGGCAGGCCCAGCTATCTGAAGCAGCCATCACCCTCTCCCCCTGGGGTTTAGAAAGACATTGCACAGGCTGCTCAATGGGAAATGTTTTGCATGCAGGTTATCAAATGGTTTTTTGTTGTTGTTGGTTTGTTTGTTTTTTGTAGGTAATAGGAATCAGAGAGAGACCATGCCCTATCATGTTGCAAAAAAAAAAAAAAAAAAAGTTGGTTCCTGGGATAAGGGACAGGGGTAGAAGAACCACAAAATAGTTGATAATGCATAGAAACCTTAACATCCTTCACAGAAACCATTAATAAGGGCAGAAGCATCTTCTGAGACCAACTGATTTTTGCTCCACAAGGGAAGCATCAAGAAGCTTGGAGGTGAGGGTAGGTTTCCTAAATTGTCATGCTATCAAAGTACCTTCTACATGTTTGTGTTGATACTCACAGATCAGTGCTGATCTCAACCTTCATCAGGGAAGCTTCTTGGAGCAACCGGCAGCAGTCAATGCAGAGACTCCTAACTGGTCAGTGCTGGAAGTGAGGGGCACCTGGTGCTCAGCCCTAGCAGGGACAGTCGTGCCACCAGCATCCAGACTCAGGGGATGCAGTGGAAGAGGAGGCAGAGAGTTTCAGAGCCAGGATGGGGAGAAGTGCTATGAAATGCTATCTTCTGGACATGACATAACTGTAGCAACTCATGAACCCACAGACATAAAATCTAGTCAGTCAGCATTCCATCACAGATGGGGGAGGGTTCATGAGGCCCCAGCCCTGAGCTATTGGCAGCTGATGGCTTCTAGGAAAGGGTAACCTTTCTTTTCTTCCTTCTGGACCTGGTCCATGCTGTAGTAGATGGCCCATACTCATTTGCATGCAGGCAGCCCTTACTAGACTCAATGGTTATATAAAATTTATAAAAGAGGAAAATAAAAGAAAAAAAGAAGGCATGAAGTTGCAAAGGGGGTTGTGTGAGGTTATCTGAGGATAGTGGAGGGAGGATTTGGGTCAAATAGGATCAAGATATGTTGCATACATGTATGAAACTGTCAATGAATAAACAGAAATAAACAAGAAGCAGAATCAGTGGCAGCAACACACAGGTGAAGTTGCAAAAGGATCCCAGCTGTTAAGCGTCAAGGCCTCAATTAGAGAAGTCTTTGAACCTCAACCCAGTCTTCTTTGCATTGCAGGGCTCCAAACAGAAGAGCAGCCTCCCTATGGTTTGAGAACACTGCCATAATAACAGCACCATCCAGCAGCTCACTTCCACTACATGTCAGGTTAGCCCTGTTTTACAGAGGTTAACCTCCAAAAGGACTGAGAGGCACAGGAATTTGCTCCAGTTCCCTGGAAAATGCCTTCTTCTTGGAACTCAATGCTCACTTAAGTTGACAACCAGCTACTGAAAAGAGCCAGGGAGTACCTCAGTCCAGAAATAGATTTCCTAACTAAAGGAAGGGAGCTGCCTCTGACTGCTAGTCAGCTTTGAACTCTTGGACAGGGGGCATCACCCCACATGCCCCATTCTGCAACCCCAACCATCACCAGAGTGAACTCCAGTTTCCCACCTATAAAACAGAGACAAGTAAATTTTGCACTTTAGTTAACCAGGATGCCCTGAGGCTCAAGCGTCAAAGAGCAAATTGGGGCAGAGACTCACTCCCACTAAATAAGCAATTGCCCATTCCTTCCTTCTCTCACTTCTAAGACTACACTGCAGTCCAATATAGCAACAGAAAGACCTCACTGTAGCAAGGGAGGAGAAAGCAACCCATTGGTCACCAACATTTCTATTTAAAAAAAATAAGTTACTAGCATAACACTTACTATTTATTAAGTTCTGTGTCATACAAAGGACTCCCCTGCAGGCTTGCTTGCATTTAGCTTACACAATTACTCATTTTACTTAAGCTTGGAGTTTAAAAGGTAACCAGTAAGCAGCAGGGCCAGGCAGGACAAAGCCCCAGTGCTAATGCAGACTAATACTTCCCAACTCTAAGGAGCTCGTTAATCACCTGCTTAGATTCAGTGAGACCTTCACCAGGTCCTGACAGGAGCCTAAATTGATGCACTTTTAGGCCAGCATGTAGACAGGACTCGGCTGCGAGTATCCAGGGCTGGGCTTTCTATTCCATTAAGGGACATCCTGTATCACTGGATGGGTCCCGAAAGTTTCACACTAGCCCTGTCCCGTAGAATGTACTCGGTGACTTATAATTGAATCTATATCTCAAAAATTCATACTTCAGCACTTCCCTATATCAAGTCCCATTGTGTCATTCAGTCTTCCTAACAGACCTGTAAGAGGGTGATTCTCACTTGACAGACAAGGAAACAGGCTGAAAAGATTAAGTGACCTAAGCTTTTCAGCTTTTGTGCACCAGTGAGGCATCTCAGGGGATGCAAGGAAAAATAATTAAAGACCACCTAATAGCAGGAGAGGAATCCACCCCAGCACCTGACAAGCTCATAGCTCCAGAGGTCACCCGGAACTCTCAGCTACTCAGGGGATGAGGTAGCCCTGCCCGGTGCTCCAGGAGGAAAATAAGGAAGAGGAGAGGAGGCCGATTTGGGGCACAGTGCCAGGAGGCAGAAGGCAGCTGGTGAGGTTGAGTCCCCAGACTTCACCACAACATAAGCCCCACTGATTTCAATTACCGGGGTGGGCCCAGCTCTGGAGGAACCCTGTCCAGCTTGGGGGAGAGGGGAGCAGGGATGAGAGGGTTACCAGCGTACAGGGAAATCGCTGCTAGGTGATGAATCACCGAGCACATGACCCTGCAGGGGAGGGGAGGGTACCGAGCTCCGCGGGATGAGGCGGGGGCTTAAGGAACGAGGCCTAGCTCGCAGAGCACCCCTGCGGCCTGATGAGGGGGAGCAAAAGGAAGCCCCTCTCCCACGCCAGTCCTCGTGGCGGCGGATCCCCACAGCCCCCGGCCCTCCAGATCCCCAGGCGCCGCAAACTCACGGCCTTCAGCTGCTCCAGCCGGTCCTTCATCCTGGCCCAAGTGCGAGCGGCGGGCACCGCGTCCCAGGTGAGCGCGTTCCAGGTGAGTGACCTGGAGCGGCCACGGGTGCCGGCCGGGGCGAGGGAGCAGCTAGCGCAGGCGGAGGCGGGCGGCGGCCGCTCACGAGGAGGAGCGTCCGAGGCCACCGAGGTCCGCCGCGCCGCCCCCTCCGGCCCCCGCCGGCGCCGCGCTCCAAATCCGGCTCCCAGACCGGCGGCGGCTCAGCGCCCGCCCGCCCCTAGACCCGCCCCGTACCTGGGCCGCGCCCCGAGCTCCTGCTTAAAGGGCCCGCGCGCGCTCCAACATCACCCAGTATGTCATAGCATCCCAAGACGCAGAAGCATTAAGGGTTCCCAGCTCCGCCGGGCAGAGAAAAGAAGAAGAAAACTGTCCGGCTTCGATCCCATATTTTCCGTACTGTCCATATTGTCCAACCCTCCGCGGACTCGTCCGGTTAAAGACAAGCTGGTTCCTGCTCCCTTTGATGGGGGAAAATGTTCCGATGATGCGCAAGAGATACTCAGCCTCAAAGAAGGGAGCTGCGAGGTACAGAACTGCAAAGTCCGGGCTCAGAGACCTGGAGATGAGAGGCAGTGGGTTGGGCTGCGGCGAGGAATTTGGGGGTTATGTTGCTGGTGGCCATAGGGCCTCTTGGAGACGTGTGGGCGGTTCGGTCACCTTTTACTAACAATTTGAATAACTGTTAGGGAAATCCTGTTCCTCTAGAGGATTCCGTTCCCATAGCCATAAATAGGAAACCTCTTAGCAACTGACTACGAAGCCTGTGAGAGAAAGAAGCTACTGACTGTTGTCAGGGTTGTAGGATAAAGACGTTTGATTTGGAAGACTTGAACCCCACCCATCCCCTTGCTGTAAAGAGCCTCGGGATTTGAAGAATTTTTGGAGAAGTGTGGTTCCTCTCACTGTCCTTCCCTCTTTAACCGTGCCTCTACCCCCATCTCCTCCCTGCCTGATTTTGGGTAACAAACGGTACATCAAGCGGTGTGGTGGTCAACAGCGAAGACATAGGTCTCAAGTTCCGGAAGGATCTTGCGCTTTGCATTCGGTTTTAAAGGTCATAGATACTTTAATTCTAACTGGACTTTGCCCTCTGCGATGTGCACTCTCCTACTGACTTCCTCCACTGCCATAAAGACAGTAAAGTAAGGCAGGGCTTGGGCTGTACCAGGCCTGCGGGTCTCAATTCTAATCCCTTTTCTCGCGTCCACCGGCCGCTGTGCCCCTTGCGGACTGCGAAGGCTTCCACGCCCTCTAGTGGTCATAAACCCTAAGGCTGGAGTTGGAAAACATTCTACCACTGGGCTCGCTCTGTAGCACCAGTTCTTTTATTTTCTTCTTACTTTCAGACAAGGTCTCCCTAAATTTCCCAGGCAAACTTTGAATTTGCCATTCTCCTGTTTTAACCTCTCCAGTAAGAGGGGTTACACTCTTAAAGTGTAGACATCTGAAGTCTGACAGAAGTGTAGCAGTGAGGAAGGAGGAAGGATTCATTTTGAAGCAAGAACCAAGGAGTCCTATAAAGATATAATTGCTTTTGGGCAGAGAAGGCTCAGCGGTTAAGATAACTGACTGAAGGACCTACATTCAGTTCCCAGCATCCACATGACCCTCAACCTTCTGTAACTCCAGTAACAGGGGATCCATCCACATCTTCTGGCCTCTACAGGCACTGCACATATGTGGTAGTACAGATATAGGCAGGCAAAAACACTCATACAAATAATATTTTTAAGGTCTCAAAAACTTATTTTTAAAGACCTAGTTGATTTTTAACAGGGTAAAATTGTGGCTCTTATGCAAATATGAAATGAATATATTTTAAGTTTTTAGCTTATTAATGAAGCAATCAATATGGAGTTAAACTCATTCAGATCCACTGACAAACAGCAGGAATGCTGATGTGAATAGGTTATTCAGTGCGAAACTGGATTGGCATGAGGATAGGAGGGCCTTGCAAAACTGACATTGGGGAGGTGGGAGAGCCTGTGCTTCTCCTGCACACAAAGACCTTCATCTCCATGGATAGAGGCACTTTTATTGCTACCAATTGTCTCTAAGTTACACAGTTGGTCAATAACTGTAAGACAATGAAAGCCACGGACCATTATATAATCAGAAAATGCATTAGATGAGGCCACCATAGGATACACAGCATGGAACAGCTTTTTGTTGGTGGTGATGGTCATTGGTCATTTTAATTTGTTCAGTTTTTCTGTATACTACTGAGGTAGCATCTTCAATGACTGAATGGTACCAACTCTGTTAAAAAGTTATTATTCAGAACAAAAGCTTTCTTCCCTATATTGTCCACCATTACTCTCGCCTTTAACCAGACACTTAAAAAAAAATAAATCTTAGCTTTTGAGATATCTCAGTCAGTTAAAAAGAAAAAAGAAAGAAAAAGAAAAGTGCTTGCTACACAAATATGAGGACATGAGTTCAATCCCTTGAACCACTTTTTAAAAAAAAAAAAAAAAAAGTCAAGTGCAATGACAAATACCTGTTACTGCATAGTAGAGACAGGCAGACCCTGAGGTCCACTGGTCAGCCAGACTTACCTACTGGGTGAGCTCCAGGTCAGCGAAAGAGCCCATCTCAAAAAACAACATGGACAGCTCCTGCGGAATGACAATCAAGCTGGTCTTCTGACCTACATACACTTTTACACTCACACACAAATTTATCACTGCTGCCTTTATTTATTGAGCACAATTTCCAGTGCCAATGTGTTCCTTTATACATTAGTCTTTCTCTCCCCCACCCCTTTATTTAATAGCTTCTGGTGTACCTCAAAATGATCTCAAACATTCTGTGTGATCAAACATGACCTTGACTTCCTGATCCTTCTGCACCCAACTCCCCAGTGCTAAGTTTACAGACACATCCTACCAATCCATGTTTATCCCAAGTTGGGAATCAAACCCAGGACCTTCTGCATACTAGGCAAGCATTCTATCAATTGAGCTACATCCCCAGAACAAGAAAGTCAATCTTTCCTTCACATAATAGTTTTCATTGGTGAGGCCATTCCTATAAGCTAACAGAATAATTGTTGGACATACAGCTAAGAAACATGAATGAAAAATGTGATTCTATTCACTGCATGTAATAACTACACTTAAGATAGACACCTAGTAGTAGACAGCGAACACAAAACACACTCAGTGGTATTTTTGTGAACTTTGTGTCTCATATTGCTTTTGTATTTTTGGACATTTTGGTCTTATTGGTCTTTTGCTTGTATATTATATTACAGTTTCTGATTTTTGTGTTTTTATGGTGTGTGTGTGTGTGTGTGTGTGTGTGTTTCATGTTTTTTTTTTCTTTTTTCCTTTTTTTAAAATTTTGGTTGTTACTATCATAGAGCCTTCATCTAGTAATTGATGGAAACAGAAGCAGACACCCACAACTAAATGCTGAGCTGAACTGGAATCCAGATGCAGAGAGGGAGAACAAGACCAGGCTACAGAAACACACAGAGACAGCTGACCTGAATAAGGAGGAGATAATGGGTCCCCAGACTGATAGCTAAGAATCCAGCATTGTACCAACTCAGACCCCCTGAACATGGGTCTCAGAAGACCTAGGCAGTCTAAGGAACCTCTGATGGAACCAGGATGTATCCCTGGTGCACAAAATTACTTTGGGGACATATTCCCCATGGAGGGATAATCCCTTAACCTAGAGGCAGGAGGGAGGGCCTAGACCCTACCCCAAATGACTTGACAGATTTAGATGACCAGGAAGGCATCACCCTACATATGGAGTGGGGGAGAGGAATGGGATGAGAGGGTGGTCAGGGGGGCATGGGAGGGTGGGAGAAAGGGAGGGAGAGGGAACTAGGATCGATATGTAAAATAAGAAAAATAAATATTCTGGTTGTTTTCTAAAAAGAGAAAGAAAGATATAGCATGGAGTAGGATAGGTGGGGAGGCAGGAAGGATGGGGAGGAGTTTGGGGATGGAAAATCGTGATCAAAATATGTTGTATGAAAAACATTTTCAATTTAAAAAATGTGACTCTGTCTCACCACCTAGCAGGCAGGAAAGCTGGCCCTGGGGTCAGGAGAGTGGGGAGAGCTGAGCCTGCCCCTCAGTGGCTGCAGCACTCAGGACAGTGCTTGCACCTCACCTGGCTAGCATGATAGAGCTGACCCTTCAGGGTTTGGGGGACACAGGTGATCTGGCCCCATGAACATGTGTGAGAGATTGGGTCCCACCCCTCATCTGGGTGGGCAAGGGAGAGATGCACTCCAGCATCCCCAGCCCCTCATTGCCTGTGCAGGTGGAGAGAGCTGGCCCTGAGGTCATGAGAGTGGGAGAACTGGTCCTGCCCCTCACCAGCTTCAGCACTTGGGAGAGCAGGCCCTGCACCTTGCCTGGGCAGCACAGTAGAGCTGACCCTGTCGGCAGGGGCACAGGTGAGCCTGCCCTGAGGGTGTGAGGGCAGGAGAGCTGACTCAACACACCACCACTGCCATGTGGTGGCATAAGTGAGAGAAAGATGCTCTCCCACCCACCCACTCCAACCCACTCAATTTGCGCCTTGCCTTCTGCAGTAGGCAGGAGAGCTGGCCTCAGGAATACAAGAGTGACTCTGCACCTCACCAACTGCAGCACTCAGAAAAACAGGTCCTGTACCTCACCTGGGAAAAACAAAATAGAGCTGAGCCTGGTGATATAGGTGCAGGTGAGCTGGCCTGAGGGCATGACGGCAGAATTGGCCACACTCCTTGCTGCTTGCTGAAGTGGGTGAGCTAACCAGAGCAGTGTTGCAGAGCTCACCCTGGTGGTGACTATGAGGAAAAGCTGGCCGCTGACCAGCCCATCTAATACCCAGGCCCAAAATCAGGGCTATGTGTTGGCCCACCCCAATATTTGCCTCATGTTTGAACTACTGGGACATGTGAAGGGGCCAGACCTGCACACCCAAAGCTGCAAGATCTCCAAAACACAACGCAACAACAGGATATCCAAGAGGAGTCCCAATGATGGCCCAGTATCAAGGGTAGTTGAAGCCATGTAGCATGAATTATTTTTGGTGTTAATAAAAACTTGGAGTCAGATATTGGTGGGGGGAGGAGGGAATCTGAAAGATAAAAGAAGCAAAACAGCCAGCCACTAGCTCTTACCTCTACCTCAGTCTGAAAGGGCAATGCTGTCTCCACTAATGCCTAGACTGCCTGCCTCAGACTGACTACC